CAGCATTTACCCCTTGTGTCTCTGAAAGGGGATGCCACATTCTCAGATATCAGGAGATACCTGGTTAAAGTTTTCCTTACCTAGCTGTAAATGCACTATCTGCACTTTAAAGTGGAGATAAACATTCAAAAGATCTTCTGTATTCTGATTATTATTTTTTTATTGATCATTACTTTTATAACTCAACAAGCAGTAAAGGCATGTTTCAATGGGAAGAGAGTAAGATGAAGCAGTTGGAAGTTGCTTTCAGGTACATGCTTGATTTTACTCTTAATGTCTTCCTTTAGGGAAATCAACTGTCTCACTGAGGTGAGTAAAGCTAAACTGCTGTGCAGCATTATGGCATAAATCTGTTCTGTGGAATATCTGTTTATGACTTTTCTAGTGCTAAGCCCAGGAGACAGCTTGTCATGACCCAGACTTAATTGCCTAGGCAGCAGGTGCTTTTAAATGAGAAAAAACAATAGAGTGATAATACAGTTGGATTTTTGCTCTCTACTGTATCTCATTAAATGCTTGCTCAGGTTTTGCAGTTTCTACATTTATAAGACACTAATGTTGTTATGATTTTTTTTCCCCTCTCCTTCTTGTACTGCAATTCCTAGATATTTCTCTGATGGCTTTGCCTCCATGCCATGCCCTTTGCCAGTTCTACGTTGTAAATGGTGAATTGTCTTGCCAACTTTATCAGAGGTCTGGAGATATGGGACTAGGAGTGCCTTTCAATATTGCCAGCTATTCACTGCTCACATACATGATTGCCCATGTCACGGGGCTAAAGGTAGGTTATTTAATCATTTTATTTAATCTTGTCTGAGGAGTGAGGGACTGAAAGATGAGACTCTTCATGTCATGTCCAAGAAAAACTGGAATGAACATATTGTTCAAAGTCTTGCTGACATATGTGTAAGAAAGGGTATTATGATTTTAGTGTGAATAGTTACTGATCTGTACAGGCACTCAGGATCAGCAATGCAAGGATTCTTAAATTCAAGTCAAACAGACAGAAATTCCTCCAGGTCTTTTAAAAGAACATGTCAAAACTGACCTGTTCAACTAGTCTACTTCTTAGAAATCTGAACTGAGCACTTGTCCTTATGGGATAATAATATACAAGTGATTAAATTTCATAGCATGTGTTTTTTATTGGAAGCAAAGTAGCTCAGTGGTTGCTGTCGAGATTCCAATTTGGATATTCTGCCCCCCTAACTTCCACTATAATTTCAGTTGGGTATTTTTTTCATTTCCTACTGTAGATGACTCCAGAGCTGCATTTTGTAATTTTACAGAGTAATTTAAATGCACCACAAACTTGTACAAGTGAAACCCCCTTTTCTTCAGAGCATGTAAGAAATTATACTAGCAAATTCATTTGGGCTTGATCCTCCTGCTGCCAGCAACATGAAGGGGAACTTAAAATAGGGAAGTAGGGGAGAATTGGACTTAACAGCAATTGCAGACATACTGAAGAAATTAGGCCAAGGTACTAGAAAAAGTGAGGTTTAACATTACATCCATAAAGCAGCTGTTGCCTTTCAGCCACTTCCTCTCACAGCTTTGGTGGTTTTTAGCGTAATATCTGAGGGCTGATCTGCATTGGTCAGAGGCCAGTAAAATCGCAGATAAAATTTACCAAAGTTGAATTAGATGTTTCAGGGGCTGCTAAGTCACAGAACTTGCAAACTTGGTAAGTGCTTTGGGGTTTGGCCTGTGACTGACACCTCCACTGGCACAAACTACATTGTTTAGTAGTGGCTAAGGGAACTAGTTTGAAATCAACTTTGGCAAGTCCTACTTACTAGAAGTGGAGTGGAAAAGCTGGATATCACTGCCCCATCTGTTTCCATCTTGGTGAGCAGACAAGTAGTGCTCCATTCATTTGCCGTAGCTATTATCCTAGCAGGATTTCAAAGATAAATTTTTTTGTAAGCTAGTGGAAATTTCTTTATGTTTTTCATTAATTACGCATTAGTCTGAGAAGATAGTGTCCTTCAAAGCTTGCAGGGATGTCTTGATAATGCAGTCCAGTACAGAAGCTGCACTTTCACTCTAGATATAAGATACTAAGAATCAATACTGTAAGCATTGTAATGTTTTGCTTTCTTGAAACCTGACTATTTGAAAACCACATGTATTCTCCTTTCTCTTCAGCCTGGAGAGTTCATACACACCTTGGGAGATGCTCACATATATCTGAATCATGTGGAACCTCTAAAAGTTCAAGTAAGTACTTATTCTGTATTCTTGTATCCTTTTATCTTCCACAATGCTTATCCAGTACAAGGTTATCTTGGTATTATAAATATCCTTTTGCAAATATTAGTTTGTATGGCTTTTCTTCTCATTTCTACCCTAATAATTGTAGTACCTTAATCTCTGTTCAACTTGGGTCGGAAACAAAAATACGATACAAACATGATTGAAATGTATATCAGTGTACTATTCTAGCACCAAGTTTGAGATCCAGAATCTGTACCCCTACTTTTGACTTCATCATTTCAAAACCTTGGAAAACCATTCCACCTAATAGAGATGAACACAAAATAAAATACCTTTGTGATTTATCACAAAAGGATGACTTACCAATTCACAGAGTTAATCAGCATTACTATTTGTCTGAAGAAGACTATATTTTCTTCAGGAAGTAATTTGGTGCAATAGAAGCAAATCAGAATTTTATTTGATTAGACTTAGCTCAGACTGAATGTCCTCACCATTTATATGGTTCAAAACCATCCAGAGAACTAGTTACAGGTTCAGACCCAAATGTTCCTGTGAGAAACTGCAGTACATTTGATGCACATCGAGGTCAGAATTTCCAATTTAGTTTCCTCTGGAAGGAATCTAATCTGTAACCACTGGAATTGCTCTGCAAACTGAAAATGCTATCAGTGCACTTGGATGATCAGGGAATCCACTTTAAAATTATGCTACTGCTCCCTATCAAGATACTAGATTTCACCTAACTGTATTACAACTTTCTTTTGTTTTGTTGGGATTTTTTTTGGAGTATAAGTCTTAGGGAGGAGGGAAAAATCTACATAGTGTAATCTGAATTGAGATTAATGAGATCTAATTTATAACACAAAATCTCTGCCTTCAAGTATACAATAAGCTTGCTTTTATTTCAGCTTCAGAGGGAGCCAAGACCTTTCCCCAAACTCCGAATTCTTCGTAAGGTTGAAGACATCAGTGACTTTAAGGCAGAAGACTTTCAGATTGAAGATTATAATCCTCATCCACCTATTAAAATGGAGATGGCTGTTTAATGCTATAAACCAGCTTCTATTAATGTGGAAACGTACATAAGCTACTTAGCTTTCTCTGTACTTAAAGTTATGGGGCTTTTATATACTTCAAAAGATAAATACTTAATTATTGAAAAAGAAACAGATATTAGTAGACCAGTACTGCCTTCAATACTAAACTAGTTGTAAAGAACAGATGATTATTTATTCCTGCT